AAATCCCCTGGAAGTCACTTTGGCTAAAGGTAGAAGAGCTTACCCCAACGAGGAGCAGTACAACAATAGTGCCTGCTGCCTCTGCATCGGCACCTCCACAACTAAACAGCAATCAGTAGTCAAACACTGATCCTCAATACTTGGAGGACGGGGACTGTCTGCTCCCACCAATGCATCCAGTCTGGTCCTGGAACATGTGCATGGCTGCCTGCCGCGGGGCTTGTGTGCAAGGAAGAGGTAGCTGCTTCTGAGCTAAGATCTGAAATTGACTGTAATTCATCATGATTTGCTGTCCAAGGCTTTCCCTCAATGATGCAAACCTTCAGCAATAGACTCTACATTTCCAAACTAGTTCTATCAAAGAGATCCTACCAGTGTCATTGTTGCTTGGATGGGGAGGTGGATTCCCGGTATCTTCCCAGAATCCTCTCTCTGACTTCTTTTATCGACACCTGTGCTACCATAGCAGAACACCTACCGCAGTGTATGTAAATTGTCAGTATCTTTTGGTTAGTGGCTTCTCCTCTCCTGAATGGCTGGAACCTCTTTGGGGCTAAGGCTGTCATTTTGGCTGTTTTAATCCAAGTGGCTTACGAAGAGATGGTTGAGCTGTTCTATAGTGTCAAGGAATGGCTTTCTGAAAGGTAACTCTTGAGAAGAGACCAAAAGGTGACTTTGCCCATTTTTTGTCTTCCCTTTTCAGGGAATTTACAAGTTGACAATATCCTAGTTTTCTCTTGATGGCTTCTTCCCATTGGCTTTAGCCATGTGTACCTTTGATACCTTAAATGCAAGTAGGACGAAAGGGAGGAAAGAAGAAAGATGCAAACTGCAAAATCCCCTCTTCCTCTCCTGATACTGCCGTGGTGGCCTCATTTCCCTGTTTAGCTGGATTTCATGAACAGTTCTTCACTCTGCCTTCCTCATGCTGTAGCCCACTGCAGCATGGCTTGAACCCCACTGGAACTACTTTTGTCAAAGTCTCTAACAACTTCTGACACAAAATCCACTGAAGCATTTTCATCCCCCCACCCCTCTTAACTTAACCTGTCAGCAGCATTTGGAAGTAGTAAGTACTGTTCTTTGAAATTCTGGTTTCTTTTGCATTCTGTCTGCAAGGGCGTATTCTACTAGTTTTTTGTTCCTAACCCTCTAGCTGTGCTTTCTTATTCTCTTTTGTAGACTTCTGTTTTGTTTTAAAAGGCTCAGTCAGAAGCCTTCGTCTGTTTTCCTTCTACGTGCATGTACTGGGATCTAGTTGCATAGTTTAAATAGCCATCCACAAACTGTCGACTTGTGAGTATATATTTCCAGCCAGTATATCCTAACTTTTTACCAGGTCCCGTGTGGAAATGTCTTTCTTGCATTCTGACTTAAACATATACTGTTCACCTTGGTTCCAGTGAGTCCCACCCAGTTGATTTTCCTGCAGTTTCCCACCTGGCTTGTGGGAGCTCTGCTGTCTTAGATAGCCATCAACTCAAGTCTGGACCTGGTATCATCCTCACCCTCACCACTTTTTGCCACTTATGCTTCCTAAATAGCCATATGCCAGTCTACCCCCCTTTCTGCTGCCACCATTCTCTCTCTGCTGGGCTCCTCTAGAAGCCTCCAAACCCCTCTTCCGTTTTCCTTCTTCCTACCCTGCCCTCCCTGTCCTGGCGTAGCCTGCCGTCAGAGCTGTACTTCCAAAGTGCAGAACTTATGATGCTACAGCACTGCTGAATGCATGTCAACAGCTGTCTGTGGTCCTTAGAATAGGGTAGGCTTCTTCACATGGGCTCCCAGGCCCTTGTTCATACGCCTGCATTCATCTCTAGCTTTCTCTTCCGGCATTTGCTTGGGCCACACAGAATGGCTTTCCTTGTGATGTGTATCATAGGACTTTGGTTTTATGCTGATATGAGATGAGAGACATCACGGAGGTTAGGAGAGAGGAATCACATGATACAATTTGCACTTCTAAAAGCACCTGTGGCTGTGTGTTCAGAATTGCGTAGAGGGAGAAACCAGAAGACCATTCAGGCAGTTGTTCCCAGTATCACACTGACAGAAGATGGCAGTGTGGACTGGTGCTGGCTGTTAGTGGAGGTAGATGAAGGTCGGCACATGTTGAATTTGTTGTTGAAAGCCTACCTGATAGCACTTACGACGGGTTGTACTTGGAATATAATAGAATGAGGACTGGGTGATGACAGTAGGTTTTGGTCCGGAGCAGCTGGAGGAATGAACTTGCTGCCAGGTAAAATGCAGGCAAACTGCAATGAGCTGTTTTGGATGAGTTGGAGGCAGTGAGTGGGAAGATCACCAGCCTAACTTTTTTTTTTACCAGCTTAGTTTTGAGTTCTGTTCAACATGTATGCTGATGTGACAGCAAAATAATGGCCCCAAATATGTCTATGTCCTCATTCCTGGGATATAGAATCTCTTGTAGCAACAGAGACTTTGTAGATTTGATGAAGTCAGGGACACTGAGATGCAAGAGCATGCTGGATTTGCCAGGTATGTCTAATGCAGTCATAGGCATACGAAGGAGGTAGGCATGTCAAAGTCAGAGAAGCAGGTATGATGCCTGATAAAAAAGTTGGAATGATATGCTTTGAAGTTGAAGGAAGAGACCACAGGCCAATTCAGTTGGCTTCTATTTTGTGAAATCTATGTTTTCAGCTTCTCACTAGAAAAGGCATGGGAAGAGTTTCCCCTGAAGTTTTTAGAATGAACACATCCCTGTCAACACTTTGATTTTAGCCCTTGAAGACACATTTCAAACCTCCTACCCCTAGAATTGCTTGATAATCAATTTGTATTCTCTTAAATAATTAAATCGTGGCCATTTTACTGTAGCAGCAGCTCTGAAATTAATATACTAGAGAGGTTGAGTAGGCGCATTATGTATGTCTGGAGTTCTGGGGATTTTTATCTTCTCCAAACTTCAGCTATTATTCATCTCTGGTCAAAATAGTGGTGCTCTTTTTGGCAGCCCCACCTAGCTTAAAAGTAAAAATTTGGGAACAGCTTTTCGAGTAGAGTAAGCACATACTATGCAGTACAATTTCTCTAGTCTTGGTGACTCTGCTCCCACTGTAATTGATACACTGTGTACCTGTATGCTGTGCACATAATTTTAATATGTGTTTCAAGTAGTTACAAATTGTGATAAAATAAGAAAAGTTATATTCTGAAGTGGAAATGGTGATAGTTGCAAGATGGACTGCTTCAATAACATTGGGGAAAGATGCAGAGAACATTGAAGTAAAAGACATGAAGGGCTCCAGTACACTTGTCTGTGAGTTAATAGTTTCGGAATAAGTGTATTTTTAAACCACAGTAGCTAATCTCTGAGATCACCACTCTATATTTTTAATTTTTTTATTTTAAAGGTAAAAAACTAAAAATTGTACAAAATTTCAAAACAAGATGATAGGAAATTAACAGTGGTTATTATATTGCATGTTATTGTCTTCAAAGTAGTTCCTCAGATTATCAGATATAGATATGTAATAGTGATTAAACAATATGAACACTAACTGTTCCTTTCAATGAATTAATAGAAATTAGTAGTACAATTATCTTAGCTATCTTGTACACACACACACACACACACACATATATTTTCTCTGTCCCCCTTTTTTTCTCCTTTCCCCCATCCCAGTTGTTCTGTCCTTTTGAGCAGTTACTTTCCCTTTCACAATATTTATTGTGACTTTTGTATCTTATTTACTATTTTTGTTTCTTACACTAGGGAGACAATACAATGTTTACACATGTGAGTCTCATTTATTTCACTTACAAGTATTGTCTCTAGTTGCATCCATTTATCTATAAAAGCTTCTAGTTTATCTTTTTTTATAGCTGAGTAGTACTCCATTGTTTAAAAATGCCATATCTTTTTGATCTGTTCCTCCGTTGATGGACATTTGGATTGTTTTCAAGAGTTAACTATTATAAATTGTACTGCTATAAACATGGGTCATATATCACTGTGGTATGATGTTTTTAATTCTTCTAGGAAGATACCCAGAAGGGGAATAGCTGGGTCGAATGGGACCACTAATCTTAGTTTTTTGAGGAATCTCCACACTGATTTCCACAGTGGTTATACTAATCTACATTCCAACCAGCAATGGAAAAGGGTTCCTTTTTCCCCACAGCCCCTCCAGCAGTTGTTATTGGTTGATTTTTTGATGATACCCAATCTTTCTGGGTGATAGGAAATTTCAGTGTAATTTTAATTTGCAGTTCTCAGACGACTAATGATGTTGAACATATTTTCATATATTTATTTTCCATTTGTATTCCTTCATGTGAGAAGTGTGTATTCATCTCAGATGCCCATTTTTGAATTGGATCTTTCAATTTTGGGGGTCTATTTTTAAAAATTCTTTGTATGTTCTGGAGAGAAGTCCTTTGAGGGACAGTTAGCTAAAATACCACTCTATTACAGGAGTCTAATGGCTGATATGTAATGGTTACTGTGAAAAAATTACCTTAGTGTTGATGTACTCTTTCAGAAAATAGAAATTCTGCAGTATATTTCACAATCTATTTCTTAACATAATTCAAACTTTTGAGTGCATTGCCTGTTAGATATGCTTCAGTTGCTAGAAGATCAACTTAAGTGGAACACTTAATTCCCCAGTGTCACTGAATTTTAGCAGTGGATAAATTCACACATAATAATGTGAGTGAGTGAAGTACTTCATGGTTAATCTCTAATTGTGCTCAGACCTGATTGTGACAGCCTTTATCTACAGAATTGTAAATAACTAAAACAGAGTTAAAGATGTCCAAGAACAACACACTGTGAGTTCACTCCCCATGCTAAATCTGAAGCAATGAGTTTTCTGTAGTATATGGGATATTTTATTAGTTCTTTAACAAAGTTATATACTGCTCACTGGGTACCTAGTGCTTCCTTAAATCTTGCATATGTTAACTGATTTTAATTCTCATAAAAACAACCCTCTGAGTGAAGTACTATTATCATTCCCATTTTACAGATGGCAGACCTGAGACAAGAGAGATCAAGTAACTGACTTACATTCCTCCAGCTGGTAAGTGGGGATTCAAATCTGTAGAGGCTAGCTCTGGAGTCAGTGCTCTTAACCCTGCTCTGTGCTGCCGTCAGTAGAGCCTTCCAGCTGTACTTCTGAATCACCTCTTCTTTACTACTGCACCTCTGGACTCTAGTTCATGCAGAAGGTGTTAATGGGATTTCTCTAACATTTTTTGTCTAGGACCAGGTCCTCCTCTTCAGCTTGGACTGGACCAGCAGTTTTTTTCTTTCTCTTTCTGACTTAGATCTGTAACATAGTTTACAAAGCACTGCCTCACCAGATGTCATTTTTTCTAATATAAAAATTGGTACCATTTTGTCCAGGCAAGGCACATATGCCTGTGATCCCAGGTTCTTGAGAGGATGAGACAGGAAAAATCACAGGTTAGCAGTCAGCCTTGGCAACTTGTCAAGACCCTGTCTAAACATTTAAAAAAATGCAGAGGACTTGGTATGCAGAGGTAGCTTGGTGGAAGAGAGCTTGCCTAGCATGGGGAAGGGCCTGGGTTCCGTTCTCAGTACTGAAGAAAAAAAAGGTTCCATTTCCCTATATCTTAAGTTAGAGCCCCCTTACTCCTTTTCATGATGTTTTCATCATCTAAACCCTGTCAGGTAATTTTGATCAGAAGAGAAGGGCTATGGATGGTCTCAGAGTAGTGATCAAGAGCTGAGGAGCCCCAGGCAGAGATAGCAGGACCAGCACAACCAGATGCTCTGCCCTGAATCTCTCTGCTTCTGGCTGGGCTACCACTATGGGTAACAGCAGCTGAAGCTGCCTCTCGGTGGGTCCATCTCACATCACCACGTCACATCTCGTCACCATGGCCTTTGGGTCATGTGATCATGATTGAGAATCCACGTGGGTGCAAACATTTGACTAACCCTGGCTGGTTTCCTAGGGGGAGCAAGGATGAGGAGGTCTTGTTTAGCTTCTTTAATGGAATGTAGACTCCGTGCCTCTGCCCAAACTGACAGCATTGAGAATTGTCCAGCAGCAGGAAGTTGGTTTGGTTCCCAACAGCCAAAAACAATGAGAAATATTCCTATAACAGTGTTGCTGTAACATTTTTGCCTGCAACTCAGAAGGGATATGCATGCATTCATATGTAAGTGCTCTTTCTCTCTCTCACACACACACAGCACATTTAACTAAAAAGGATTTCAGGAAAGAATTCTTACCCATGGAAATGTGATCAACAGATATTTTCTGCCAGAATCTCATTTCTTAAAATACCAGTCATGACTCACTACATTGATTTGAGTATGAAAATCTTACTCTACAGTGTCCTCTATATAGTATATTAAAAAACACTCCCAGCATGTAGTTTTACCCATGAAGTATGTGTCCTAGAGACAAACCTTTCTGCAATTCTAGTCCTTAAGTGAATGTTTGCAAAGTAGATCCTTGAAGTTTGGCATTTATTACCTTGAGTACAAAGTAGGCAGAAATGAGAAGAAAACATGAATCTGTTAAAAAGCAACACTTTGTAGTCCCTAAACAGAATATCTGATTATATCATCAAAAGTACCTGACATGCTAGTTCAGCATGTTTGCTTATAGAGTTTGCTAGGAAAATTTAAATGGTGAAAAATTGCTAGAAAGTGTTGAGTTTCCATTTTTGGTACCTATAAAACAGCAACGTTCCTTTCAGCAAATATGAGTTGAGAAGCTGTCCTTGGGGAGGCCCTCATCAGATGTTAGAAAGGGCGCAGTGGTGACCGCGGACTGGCATCCTTGTCTCCAGGAGCTGAAAGTCTAGAAGAGAAAACAAGGATGTAGCAGATGAGAAAGATAATGACAAAAGATTAACAATACGTGTTGGAATTGAATGGAACGTGAGCGTCCAATTTTTGGTGAGCAGATTCTGTGCAACAAAGGAAGACGTGAATGGCTGTAAGAGAGAGGGACCTCCGTGTCACCTGAAGTCCACAGTGGTGCAGCCTACAGCGCGATGGGGCTGTGCATAGCTTACAGACTTGCTTTGGCACCCGGCTGACTCCCAGTGGGTACATAGTGAGTGAACTGATCTCGTTTTGGAGCAGTTTCTCTGGACTGCAGTGAGAGCTCAGTATTATGGACGTGGCCCCCCACACAGGCCTTTGTGGGGCTGAGGGATTTGGGAGCTTTCGGGCAAATAGTACCAGCCCAGCAGCCAGAGTGGTGGTAAAATTCAGAGACATGGCTTTATGGCAGTGCTTACCTACCCCTAAATCAGAAACGCGTTTCATCTGTGCCTTTAGCTACATTTTGCTGAGCATCTGTTAGGTGAAAATTCGGGGGCTGGAAGGGCCTCTGCAGATGCCATCAGGCGTGGACTTGACTGCTCCATGAATCAAGCAGGTCAGGAAGGGCAGGGTTGAGGCTTACGCATAAGTAACCATGAATAGTAAAGATAGATGAGGACAATCACCGTAAGTGAGGCACAGAGAAAGTACAGCCAAGCAGGGAACTCCAGGTGGACTTCGGCATTTTGAGTCAGCCTTGGTATGCTGCACGTGTCACTCTTCTGAAGTCGTGATACCAGTATCTTGAAACTCTGCTCTTTCCTTAATATAAGTAATTGGTACTGTTAACCTAAGAAGCCATATTCACCAAGCACTTATGTGTACTAGGAAACCACAAAGCACAGAGTTTGCTCTCTATAAATGTGCGCAATGCCGAAAAGCAGTAGTACTATTGCTTTTGTTTTTGTAAGACGGAACTATTTCTGTGTCCTGGCAGATGGCCCACAGTAACCATTCTTTTCTTTGCTGGTGATAGTCATTTCTTTTAAAGATGAAATTCTGCCTGCGGGACACTTTCCCCAGTCCCTTACTATATAAAGAGTGAGTCTCTGGAATAGACTAAGCTTACCATTCACTGAGGGACTGTACGCATTTTGGAATGAGGGGATGGCATATCCAAAGAGCAGGTGGACATGGAGGCAGCTTAAGAGCTGGGGTTAGCAGTGGGTAGAGGAAAGGGCAAGGTACCAGGAAAGGAGGCTCCACGCTGTGCCAGAGGGCAGTGCAGATAGGGGGCCATGCTGTACCAGATGTTTCTGGGAACAAGAAAAAGCAAATAGCAGCGAAAGTCATTTTTACACCTACAGGCACTGCTGCCTTCTGACGCCCAGTCAATTGTGTGATAATGAATTTGTAGCTATTTTTTAATGCAGTGACGGAATATTACCATCATTTAATAACCATGTGGCAGAGAGTCTACCTCTTCTTTGATGCTCTGCCATAATGCTACCATTTATTTATATCCACCAGGTGATATGTGTGTTGCATATTTTTCCCTAATCCGCACAACAAAGCTACAGTCCACTGTTTTCAGCTACATTAAAATATAGGCAACAAAACAGAATGTTAGTGAGTTAGTGTTTATTCAGAAAAGGGCGCAACTGCTGTTCAAAGCAGAATGTGCCCCATCTTCCTAGCCTTATTTTGACGTGCTTTCCTATCCCTGCTTTGTGTTTACAGAGGTCATTGTGAAGGTGTCCTGTGAGGCCTAAGCCTGGGCAGATAGTTTTAATCTTCCTGGACACGACATAGAGAGACGTTGTCTTCTAGGTAGCAGGCTTCCCGATAGGACCTGCCGGGTGATTCAGAGACATCTTGAGTGACCACGCCACAGTCACTATACCATCTTAAAATTTGCTTTGCAGGTGTCAAAATATATATCTCTTTTCAGACACTGTGATTTTATTTTCATTCAGCTAGCTCAGAATTTCTTCAAAATCCTCCTATTTTTGCACTCAAGAATGGAAGAGAATCACACCTTCACTGGCAGCTCCTCTGCTGAGGAGCACAGGGCCTTCTCTGATCAGACAAACCAGAATCTCCTGCTGGTTCAGTTTCAGATCTGGATGTCGTGTCGTTTCAGCAATAACATCCAAACTGTAGGGTTTCCGGGCACCAAATACGGTGATCTTCCCAGGTCTCTGAAACTTTAAATTTCAGTTTATACTAGAAAAGTCACAAAGTCAATCTTTTTAAAGAATTTGTACTTTTAATCTATTAAAATGTTCTAAATATTTAAACTGTTGAACTTTCTTCATCCTAAAAAAAACAGTGGATTTAAAATTTTAAACTAAATAGAGTAATAAAAGGCTTATAACAAGAAATCAAAATCCCCTGTTCTCCCTTCCTATTGCAACTTCTACTCGGAGGCCACAGATTTCAAATAATTGTGCTGTCTTTTTTAATATCTAACTCTACTGTTCTAATAATGTGCTTTGTATTTTTTTTTATATCGGTTTTGGTCGTGTGAAGAAGGTTTCTCACCACAGCAGTGGGCAATTCAGACCTTTCACTGCATTCCTCTGCCCTGTTTCCCTTTCCCAGACTTCCAAAATTCGGTGAAGTCAGCACCAGCTATTTACTTTGTATGATTAGGCCTTGCAATTCATTGGTGATTCTCACTAGTGTACTGTGATGATTCACTACTTTTCTTGTACAACTTTTTTCTTCTTCTTTTTTTTTTTCTTTTAAAAAGAAAAAATAAAATAACAGCAAGGACAAGGACAAAAAGACAATACAAAAACAATAAAAATGATACAAGATTGCAAAAAAAGATGATAAGAATTAAAAGTGGTTGTTATATTGCATATTGTTATCTTCAGTGAAGTTGTTCAGATTACCAGAAGTAAGAATGCAAGACTGATCAAATAATTAAAGAGAATAAAAAGTAATAAAAATATTAGAAATGATACAGCTTCCCTAAACAAGATGGTAGGAATTCAACAATGGTTGTTATATTGCATCTTGTTGTCTTAAAATTAGTTGTTCAGGTTACCAGATATAAGCATGTAAAATTGGTCAAAAAAGAAAAATTTAAGCATTAACTTATTCTTTCAATAAATCAATAAACATTAGCAGTACAATTATCCCAACTATCCTTCCATATATATATTTTTCCCCTTCCTTCTTTCTTTCCTTTCTCCTTTCCCTCATCCTAGTTGTTCCTTCCTTTGAGCAACTTCTTTCCCTTTCACAATATCTATCGTACATTTT